GTCCCGGGTTCGAATCTCGGGGATCGCCACCCCTGGGATTGGGTATGGCTGGCTGATGAAGGTTAATAAGCCGGAAATGGGCATTCCGGGCTCCTTTGGCTTTGACGATCCCAATTCACTGATAATCGTGTTTGGGGTAACAGTCACGTCCAAGGCAGAAGTAATGGGACTCGCAGTAATATGTGTGATTCGACTAATAAGCAGAGTTTAAGTTCCGTTGGTGCTTTCCGATGGTTCTACTCCATCGTATTTTACAAGTCGCCACGCAACTGCCTGTGAGGGCTCTAGACTGAACTCAAAGGTAGAATATTCCGTGAAAGCCCTACCATTAATCAATTATGCTCGTCTCCAGCAGCACACTGCAAGATACCCCGATTCGCTCAGTAGGAATCCGACCAAGGCCTAGACTGGGTACGCCGAGCCGTTGGATCGTGACCCCTATTTAGAACCATTGAGTGTGATAGGCTCTAAGCAGGTAGGTATGACCACCCTAGATTAGGGGTTCCACAGCGGTATACCTTTAGACTTTCGGCCACACCTTTTGCCCTTCGTGTTCTATTATACTGCTGCCTGTTGGCACCCGGGAAAAGAGCTCACTCCTCTGTCTGGTCCAGATTATTATTATTCCTATTTCCATTGTTTGTTCACCTCTGAAGCACTAGATGTGTCAGCTCAGGGCTATTTGCTTGAAAATTACACCGTCACAGATAAAATCTGTACTGCGTACCACACTGTGCAGGTACTCGCTAAAAGCTTTTAGTCTAATCATAAATTTGAAAAGACTTCCGTTTGACTGTGAAAGCGTTCGCGAAACGTTAGAGTGTAGAGGTGAAACCGCCTCGCATAGAAGGGAAGTTAGAGGATAGCTAAAGTCACACCTGTATTCTTTCAACGCAGTTATTTTCCTCGGCACAAGGAACGGTAGAACGCTTGTGTCGTTAAGATCTGGCCTTCATCCTATACTGATCGGGCTCACTGGGTCGCGCTGGGTTTCCCGAGAACAAAATACTATTAGACTGAACTCCCATTTCAACTTAACGGTAGCACCAAAGACTGCTTTGCACACAGCCAGACACCTACAAATGATCCTCTGTGGGGAAAATAGTATTTATCCGCTCCAGCTACTTTTAGTAGAGTACAGTGATCTTAAAACTCTACACCAACCGAATGAGGACCAAATTAGCAGGCCTGACTGCCAAACCATTCGTTCAGTAACCAAACTACTGTGCCTGCAGTGTCGGTGCTGCAAGTGGAAAAAACCCAAGAGCATGTACATATCAACGATAAACCTTCGAATTTCTAACTGTAGAAAATGCTATGGCCAAAATTAAACATGCATTAGACGCCGCCTTGCCCGCTGAGTGTCGCCCCGTTTTTGTCTGTATGCTATGCACTTCGTAGCAGCAGCCGCCAAAACAATTCACCAGATGGCACCATTCAAGGCAAAGGTATTAGGCTTTCTACCCAAATGAAAGCCCAATTAGTAAGTCGACGGTTTGAGTGCTTTTGTTTGTAGATGAAAGGCGAAATATGAAAAGAACTTAAGCACAGAAATATCTTGCTTATAGCAAGACATTAAAGAAAGCCCTGATTTTGCAAAAATCAGAATTGCTTGACGCCGTGCAATTTCTGCCGCGTTCTGTCACTGCATAGGTCCCAATAAATGAGGTAAATGTACATGTAAGGAGGAACTACTCTCGGAGCACAATGTGAATTGACGATGTGGTTGGTATTCAAAAGGTTCTCTAACCAAGGTTAGTCTGCAAATCGCGAAAAGTGAAACAGCAACATGCATGGTTTAATTGTCGCCTTTTAATTTGTCCAGAAATTAATCTCAAACTTTGACTATATCGGTAGATTCGAGGGTCTATAGGCACAGACCGAATATTGCTATGAATATGCAATTTTAAAACTGGAGTATCTTTAAGAAAGCATACAGGGAATGTTGGGGGACGCACTGATGAACTGAACCCGGGCCATGCAGCGGAAGAAACACGTGTATGGGCTTTTAGCTAGTACCTGGGATGCCATTATGGTAAATAATTATGTAAGGTTTCATTTTCCTGAACGAAGTGAACAACAACGCAGTTAATGAGACGTCACAGATTTTTTTTTCTGTAGACACCTCCTCTCCAAAATGTTTAATTAAGCCGTTTAGAAGTGTTCTTTTTGTCGAATAGAATTATCCTAAAAGTTGAAATTGAAGTATTGCAATCAGAGAGCACGATACCGGCGATGGAGACAATTACTTTTAGGCGGTAATGCTTCTTTAAAAAATAGCCGTTGGGTTGCGAAATCTGCGTTGCAAATGCCGTCAGATGACGTCATAAGCATAGTTAGATGCTCGACAGAAACCTGGCAATCATGCTACCCACCATGCTCCTTCAAATGATTTTCATATTCAAATGATTTATTTTAATGGAGAGAGAGAGAGAGAGAGAAAGCGTCAATGTCAAGCAGACTCGCTTTAATAAAACAAGCTTTTCTTGTCATTCCTCAAGTGCCAATCTGCAAGTTGTCTCAGCGGCCAGCAAAGGCGGTGTTTAAACAATGCAGAAAATTCACAAGCTAGACTTGCTTTACGATAAATGCGGAATCGCATAAATTACCAAATGACTCAATAAATGACAGATTTTTGCAGATTTAAATAAGTAATTCGACCCACTTGTGAAAACTTGACAGTCTCGGTGAGATTCGAACCTATGACAGCAAGGTGTAGACCTCAGCACAGTCAAAACACTAATCAAGTTAGCTACGTAGCAGCACCAGCAGTCGTGATTTTGATTACACTTGGGTCCACCTACCCAGGTAACCTACTCGTTCTACCCATTCTAATACAGTAAGCTGACTGCTCAAGCATCACTTCCTGAGAAAGCGATCTGAAATCCATCAGCTGTTTACCGGGCGATCTTAGTTGTTAGGGGGTTTTCGCAAATTTGAATAATTAATCTGACCCAATTGGAATAAACTCGATTGATTACTTTGGAAGTCCAATCGCAGGGGGTTAAGTGAGTTAAACCCAGCAACTGCGATCTTCAGACCA